AAAGAGAGAATGTGGTAGATATCGATTTGGATGACTGAGACTGAACTTATAGGCTGAAACAAAGGCTTTTGCAGAGGAAGAACGAATGAGTCAGCAAGGTCACCGAGGTCAACATGACAGCCAAATGACTAATGAATGACGCTGAGGTCAGCCAGTGACTGAGCAGTGTACACACCCAACCAATGCACATTTAACCACTGATACTATTTCCTGCAGGTGCTGCTGATCCCCCCGACTATGTGAGTAATTATCTGCACAGTCACACTCGTCTTCAGACGTCTTTGGTGGGATTGTTGGCAAGAGAGCAGACGTTTCACTTTTTATTACTGCCTGTGACCTGTTTATACGCCCTTATATTAAGTATACAAATACCTGACATCCACCCATCCTTTGATTCTCTTATCCTTATCAAGGTTGTGATAGGCTGGAGCCTGTCCCAGTTATCATAGCAAGACAAATACAAGACATGTAACAGTAATCTCATGTTTTTTTTAGTGTTTTCAAAAGCAGATTCCATGTTTAATTTGATAACAGGAGTTCCTTCAGCCTTGTACATCACGTCATTTCCAGAAACATCCATTGTGTTTACTGTACTTTATACGCTCAGGAATATAAAAACATAGAAGTTTCTTCCACCTGCTTCCAAGGTGCACAGATGAGATGATGAAGTTTAGCTTGTCACCTTCACCAGAATCATCACGAGGCGAAATCATTTTAAATAGATTTGCTATGTCATACATGGATCTGCCACTGAGTCTGGGTGGCCTTTGGGAGCCTTTGGAAGCAGACCTATCAACTTCAAGTGGTGCAAAACTTCAACAGCACGCTTCAGTTGCACTTCAACGATTTACGGAACAAAATGGTGCCACCCAGGTTTTCTATTGGACCCCTTTCCATGGCCTGAAGCCACATGACTGCTGTAGATGCCCAGCCCATCCTTAGATAAGGCAGTGGACGTATACGACTTGTTCTTTTCTATTTTTATGATGGCCCTGAAGCACTTCATTCAAACCATTACATACTTCTATAAAAGTGCTGCTGCTGAGTTTTAACCTCTTCACTTCCTCAGTATTACAGACGGATTAACGCATCCGTAATCTTCTTAAGATTGCATCTAAATTTGATGAGGTATTATGAGTTATAAATGCATTGAATGTATTCACTTCACAGTTACATTCAAGTGTTAAAAGCCTCAGTATTGCACACTGACCCGCAGTGTATGAGTTCATCACAATGGCAGGTACAGCTCGTCAGTTGAATCATGCATAAGCACCTGTGGAGTGATGATTAGTACTGGTGCTGTATATTTTTATGCATTAATGAATGATGCATGCTTTTATCTTGTTCTGGAAGTGACACAAGATGAGAAGCAGTATAAGTTTATCTTCATTTTATTGCACACTTGTATTTTTCTGCCAGTGGGTAAAATAGTCCCCACAGTTTTTTATAGTAACTCGTGTAATGTATCCTTCTGCTCTCGGTGACCCTCTGCAGGCCGATAATCCAGAGAGAGGGAAACGGCTGTCAAAGTTTCCAGACGAGAACAAAAGCATTTGGGCCGGGGCTTCCTTCCCTATCAGGCAGTCAGATCAGGCGCTGCGGTCCAGTCAAATTACCTTCAATCCCATCTCAGCCAACATACTGTCTCCCACTGAGCCCTAAACAGACCACTGATGGCTGCGCTATTTGTCCTTAAATGGTGCTCAAGGCGGTTAAACTGGGGAATTTGAAGAATAAACTGAGGATGTGACATCACTGTCTAAAAGTGGCTAATTTTTCATTGTTGTGTGTTCTGGGTAGCAGATTTGGTTTCTCAGGTCAGAATATTTGGTTGACAATTTGCAGTTTTTGCTTTTGGCATCTGTTATGATGCATAAAATCCACAGAAACATAAAACATAAAATCAGATTTGAAAGTATCATATATCTTATTTGCAACCACGATCAAATACTGCTTTGTGTTGTGTATTTAATAATCAGAATCTTTATTGTCTTTGCTTGTGTGTCTGCAGGGTTCGGTAGAATACGCTGAGCTCAACCGTGAACAATTTGAGATTAGTCAGTACGATCCACAGGTCCACAGCTACCAGGACCTCCCTGAGCCGGTGGACTAATAAGATCACAGCTGTCTCTGCAGTCTTCTCGTACTGCTGTGCTGTTTTTGTTGAGCTTTTTTTTTTGTTGTTTTTTTAATGAGCATGCACGAGTATGTAAATATCAGAAATATGTCTCTCTGTCACATACAAAGATACCAATGTGATGTAAAGGGAGTTCAGGTAAAATGAGGTTAACTCTAAAAGAAAAAGAAACACACAAATGCATTGCAGTTATGTGTACAGATGCTACTTTTTGTTGTTGCATCTGTTTGCTGTGTTCCCTCCTTTTTCTTATTTTACTTTTTCATTTTCAAAAATGAGAAAGTGGAATTTAAAACCAAAGATTTAAGTTGTTCATATTAAAAAACAAACAAACCCACTTTACAGTTTTAGCAACAACTGTGTAACAACTGTCATTATGGCACTGCGCCACTAGGGGGTGTCTTTACACTGTTGTGGTAGTAGGGGAGACCCCTACACTGGACTGTCGCATGCTGCTCTCTTCTCACCTGATATCAGGAAGACCTTGTAACGGGCAGGTGCAGACATCTACCTGACCCCGGGAAATGTATGGCCAGATTGTCTAGAGCCGTGGAGAACTTTCCGCTATCGACTTCTTACTGTTAATGCCAAATAAAAGCCCGGTGTCCTACCTGCTTGACTGGACTTCCATGCTGCACTCCCACTGGGCCTGCTAGCTGCTCCTCCCTCACCACACTGCTGTTACATCTTCAAACACTGTTACTCTTACATGTACAGTTTCAGTTCTTAAAAATTCATGCATGCATAATCATTAAAAGCAATGTATATATCCTTTTTCATTTTTCCTGTTTTTTCACTTAATCATTTTTAATTTCATGTTGATTTGTAATTTCCCACCATCAAAAAATATAGATTTTCAAAACAACATCCTCTATATTCTTTATTCTAAAGGTATGTTTTATATAAATATCCCGACCTTCTTACCTATCTTGAAATCTTAGGCATTTGGTCGTGGTTCAGGAGGTAGAGCGGGTCGCCTACTAATGAACTTGTCTGTGGTTTGATCTCTGGTTTCTTTTGCATGTCAGAGCATCCTCGGGCATGACACTGAACCCCTAGTTTCCCCTGATACACCGACTGAAGTGTGTGTGAATGTTAGATTAGGGGAGGAAATGGTTGTATGTAGGGCTGGGTATCGTCACTGATTT